ACTAGTTTTTTCAGTTAGAACTACCAGAATGGTCCATATGGACTGAACTTACTTTGATTGCCCTCGAGTTCCTAGTCTCCTGGTTGTCAGTTTTGGAAACCTTTGTCGAATTATCTGGGAAATGAAGAAAGGATCGAAAAGTTAGGCTAAAAATATCTAATAAATTTAGGGAATCCCCGTCGAAATCTTTCATTAACTCTTACCTTTCCAAACGTTGCTGGTCCGGCTGGACAAAGTTTGCCCCTTCTACAAAAGTCAAGATAGTGTGTATACATGACACACCTTGGCAGACACATACCCTCCTTAAGTTCGTAATTTTCGCCAAGCCTGCAAAGGAGAAACAATCTACGTTTAGAGCCCGTTGACTGCATTTTTTGGAGTCGCGGTGGCCTCATGTTTACTTCTTTCGCCTCCGGATCTAGCGGTCTCGGTTCGAGCCCTGGCCTTGGGGTCATTGTATTGTGATCTTGGGGAAGACACTTTACTCTCAAAGAGCCTCTCTCCACCCAGGTGTACAAATGGGTACCCGCGAATGTAATGCTGGGAGTAACCCTGCGTGGACTATCATTCCATCAAGGGGAGTGGAAATATTCCTAGTCGCTTCATGCTACAGATACAGGGATATAAGCATCGGCCTGATGGGCCACTTGGCTCGTATGCAGACTTTACCTTTACTTCTACTGCATTTTGGGAGCCAAAGATGTAATCAGTTTATAGCAATTTTCCCATGACATCTTCCCATGAGTTTGAAAACGTTCGTCAAAGTTTTCAAGTTGGAACCAAAACCTTGTGCTTGTCTAACAGTTGATAACCCCGTCACACTAACCTCCCTTGAGGCAAAACACTTTCTTAGGTTTTATTTGCGACGTAGATATATGCCTTTGACTTTTTGAAAGTTAGTTTACTCACGTAAGTGCCCTTTAAGTTGTGATAGTGTACTAGGATAAACATGACCTGGCAAAAACTTGGAATGGTAATATTAAGGATATAAAATGCTTTGTGCCCGCAAACACTTTATATGTAGCTATAAATACATTTAGTACGACAGGACTTGCACGTTCGCTTCGATTCGAAATAAAGTCGACGACTTGGAAGTTATATTTCTACTTATTAGAGTCAGGTAATCACTGATCAATAACACAATAAAATTACTACAAAGCTTACAGATTAAGCTCAGACTGAAGACAGATGATACGTGAAGAACTGAAGCTCCATGCAGCCTGCTCTTTGTATTCCGTCGATATTCGTGACAAACCCTAATAGTAGTTATAAGTACATTATGCACAGAAGGCACTTATACACCTAATTGGCGTGTATTAATATAAGGACACCAGACCGTTATAAACAAAAATAAAAATAAATTTATGCGATATTTGAAGGTACTCTCTGATCCAATTTTAGTTTTCTTCCTCTACAAAAAATCCGTTAAGTCAACGGTTAAATCGATTTGAGGGTAACTAACAAAAGTGGCCCAAAGTACAAGGAAAACATGTTCGTTTTTTTCATGCCGGAAAATAAACTTATTAAACTTGTTCTTCTTAGTGACAAATGATCTTGGAGGTTCCCTTGTTATATTTGATATTTGTTAAAAACGTCCCTCGTGGACATTAAGACTGGCTTCAGACAGTCATAAAGCATATTCGTTCAATTAGTTCTTTGAATGCTTTTTCAAGGTGCACCGTCAAAACCAAAATCTCAGACAGATTGCAAGAAATATACGAAATGTAATACTTGCTAAGGCAAGAGTAACCGACCAAAGGCTAGCTGAAGGCGAATATAGGTGAACAAGGATGCCACAAACGTGTTATTTGCATTTGATGCAGTTATAAACTTAATATTAAGAAGTCATAATAAGAATATTCATTCAATTAGTTACTGCTATTTGAAGAGATCCTATTTTGAGGCACCATTGTACCAATTTAACTTGCTTTTGATATCCTCGACCCATGGTGACATTAAAAGCGAATACGGGTGGAGAAGAACCTGTTGAGATATTGTTGGGCAGAACTCGCAGTTTTGAGGCAGCATTCCGAAATTAAATAGATCTCCCTGTCTAATTGTATTTTATTATACTTCACCTCAACTGCTGTTTTGACCTTCGCTCTAATAAGGTCCACGCCTGTTCGTAAAATAATACGACCGTTTTGTAGTCTAACATAAGATAAGCTCCACCGCTTGTTGGTTTTGGAGACAGAGAGGACTGAAATCACGATAGTTTGCCGATAGCAGTTATCTTTTCTTTCATTGAGTGGACCCTTCTGATGTACGCTTGCGGCCACTCGCACTCTTACTCGACATGGAGAAAAACACCACTTCCAAATGTCTTTATTTAACGGTTTGGAAGTCTGGAAGGCATTACCCTAGTAAACACTAAAAAATTAAATGGAGTTTTTTTTAGCATGTATACTTACCATCTAAGTGTTTGCGCTATCTGTCTCTGCTTTTTCTCCAGCATTATGAATGAATACGACTCTTTTCGTCTTCCTCCTGTTACAATATCAATTGGACAGAGAAAAAACTTAAGTTCGCACTTGAATGGAACTATTTATTTATAGCCACAACAATATGAAAGATATTGGATAATCATTTAGATGGAAAGCAAAAAGGATGAAAGTACATTCTAGAAGCTTTAAATTCCAAAAAAATCATCTTTACGCAAGCAGGTAGAAAGCATTGCGCTAAAGTTATTTCAGGCATTGAAAACTGACTGATATTTTACCTTGATGGGTTCTCGTTTGATTTCTTTTTTCCTTTCGTGTTTTATAGGTACAAAGTAGTTCTCCCGAGAAGATCGTCAACTACAAACTGTTTTATGGATTATCTTCCGTTCTATTTATTCTGTCCTGCTAAAACTAACGTTCACACAATGAGCAATCAGTGCTATTGAAGGAGCGTGCCCCATTTGGTAACAACTACAATGCACACAATAGCGCTGTTTATACGTGTTACCTTTCACTGCTGTTCGATTTCTGAAGCACGTGTGTTTAGAAAGTTACAAATACAAAAGCGTGAAAAAATGTTAAGCCTTGTGAAAAAAACAAAAGAATGAATTCTGAATGAATTTAACGAACATCTAAGGTTGCTGTGCGGAGGAGTGAATCCAGAGTATTGAGTGCTGTCAGATTTTAACAGACATCTGCCTGCGTTTTGTTAAAAAAATAATAATAAACAGTGAAAGACATTTGGATTATTTATTTATTCAAAAGAAAAACAATTCAAACTATAGTTGAGGACCCGACCAGTTCAATTGCTATCCGTAGGCACGTCAGTTTCAATGAACATTCTCTCAACGGAAAATGTAGTGTTTGGCCGATATTATGTGGCATAAAACAAAAGTATTCCTGAAAACTGTTCAGAAATCGTGTCTTGCTTACAATTTCTATTTTCTAGTGTGGTTCAGGGATGAAAGTGAAATGTAAAGTAAATGAATCTGCCTGCGGGCACAAAAGATAAAATTATATGTTTTTGATATTTACAGTAGCGCAAACGCCCAAAAAGATGCAATCTTTAAACTACCTTGGCTGCTTTATAAGCATATTCCAGGTTAAAGCCTTTAAATGATTCAGCACAAAAAAAAAAAAAAATTGGGACGAATATTCGGCACTAAGTGGAGTCAGATTTGTTCTTAAAGATTTTCACCTGCTGCTAGACTTTTTAAAATCCGATTAGCTAGCACCATTAAGGGCATTCCGGCTGTGTTTGCTTTCTTAAAGAATTCAAGTTAGAACTAACGAAGCATTGCGTATTCATTTATTCAAAGTTATTGCGTTTATAAATCTATGGGTTTGGTCCGAAAATCAACTGAATAACAATTATTTGTGTGAAGAAACCAATCTTTAATGGAAAGAAACTACCAATCTTTAATGGTCGATGACCTTCCTTATCGCCAATAGCCGATAAGGAAGATAGGTCAGAAAGGGAGGTGTTCAATACACCTTCTTAAGATTGAGCAACTTGATTATCTCTGATGATTTGTTGATCGGTTTTATGTTATTTTTCTTCATGTTAAATTAGCACTGATATGAAGCATGGCATACGTATCGAATCAAAAATGAACGGCTTGTTCTATTTCAGAGTCAAGCAACTCCATATTCCTCATTTGGTTTGACGAAGATTTCTTAATGGAGTAACAACTTTTAGTGCGAATCACTCCCATCACTGCATTGGGTATTGATAATTATGCTAAGTAAGAAAACAAAAAGGTGTTTAGATATTATAGTTTTCCCCAGTTTTAAAGTCTATCATTCTGTGCGCTAGGAATTCTTACTTCAAGGTTTCTCTGCTACACGTGGCGTCAAGAGGTAAAAAGGAAAATCTTAATTTTGAAATGCAATATTAACCCTTTCGTAGCGAGCCTTAGCTTCACTGCGGAAAAAGCGGTGACATTTTGCTTCAGCCAGGGAAGGCGTTCTACAGAAAGTTACTTTTAATCCCAATAAATGAAGAAATGATTCTTTGATTATCACATTTACATTATCTCATTCCATTTTAAAGCCAGCCATTTTAAATTGAAGGAATTGCGTACTTGTGAGAGATTCTGCTTCACAGAAAAGCATACGAAGAGAATCAAGCGATCTACAATCACAGACAGAAACAATTAATCGTCGAGGCAGCCTTAGCCATTTCTACCCCTTCCAGTAATAAAGATTATGCAGTTTATTTTATTTTAATAGTATAAGTACATGGATGAAGGCAAAGTGGGATAAGGTGAGAGCACTGCTAAAGCGTTCCAGCAAAGTTACAAGGAATGTGTCAACTGCATGTTCACTGTTCAGTGTTCAATGCAATAATGATTTACTGTACTAACCCTTGAATGAACTGTTTCGAAGCTATCATACCATAACAATTGAATGTAAAATATGATTGTCCAGATAGAATCGATATAGAATAACAAAACTTTGCTGCCATAATAAACACAAAAAAGAAAAAAGAAAATAGAATAAAAAAATAAAAAAAACAAGCAAGGGACCAATAATGCTTTAGTTTTTGCCTCTACTTTACTGATCGGCCTTTGGTCAGTTATGTTCGTGCTGTTTAAGAGCCATGCCACAGACGCTGAAATTTTTACAAAATACTTCTGAAAAGATTCTCGAAAAAATATGTCTTTGTTCAATTTCGTCGTCCCTAACCCCACATGTTCAATTTCGTCGTTTCCGAACACAATGAAGCTTAACCAGGCCCATTCTTTAGGTTTAATTGCCGTCTGTTCAGTTTTTGCCTCAAGGAAGGGAACGGTTTAGGTTTCTTTCAATTTGATTAAAGCCATTCTGTTCATTGTGCAGATGAGCAAAGTCAGCGTGCATCTTTGTATATCAAGTCATCGTACTGACAAACATACAAATAATTAAAAGTTAAATTGTTAATATACGTTTTATATAAGAAAAGACACATAATGCTCGCTAACTTACCCAGCGCATGCAAACTTTGCATAGTTTTTGAACTCTTGTTTACGAAAAATTGCTTCGAGGATTTAAATTGGAAACCGCGTTGTCGTGATTTCCGCCCAGTTCAATAAATCAGAGTCGAAATTTATATTCAACTTGCCCGTAAAGGTTCTATAAATAAAAGCTGTTATTACGTAGAATACAAGTGTTTCAATCAAAAGAAACACAAGCAATATGGCCTTGTTACAATACCGAGGAGGAAAGTTTGCACATTAGATATAGTTCATGAAGACATGCTTGATCATCGCAGTTATACACACAACTTGAGCAGTTGTGAAATTAAAGCCTGAAAAAAATTAAGGCCTGAACGGGATTCGCGCCCATGACCTCTGCGATACCGGTGCAGTGTTCTACCAACTGAGTTATCAAACCAACTGGGAGCTGGTCACATTGTGACTTCGTAATACACCCGTAGATGGTGACATGACATATATTCACTTGTACAGATATAGTTCAATTATCTTACCAATTTTTTCGATTAGGCTCTTGCGCAATGTTACAAAAAATTGTAAGCTAAATGGCAAAAGCAGTCACTGTTCAATCTTAATGCCTCGTTTGTTTTGGGTTATTTGCACATAAGCAAACTTTTGCATGATTTTCTTTTATTCAAAAAAAAGTTTTTGCGAAGAAAAGTGGCTTGAAATTGCGTGATTACATTGGCTCTGTATTTGAAGAATAATATTTGGAATAACCTCGCCCAAAGCAGCAGCAGCAGCATCAGTCATAAGGCGCTTGTGTCATGGCTGATAAACATCTTTTGCAATATCGCCCTTTTCTTGACAACAGTGTTAAGTTATTCAGTTTCTAATGCAAACAAAGTTCAGTACAATGTTTGCAAACTAGTTATACAGGTTAGGTCCCGAAACGAGAGTGCCAAGTCATGCATGATCACGATGAACAAGGCGGTTAGTTTTCCTAACTGCATGTGCACCCCCATACATCCAACCTCTAACAAAGTTTACGTGACATTCTCAAACCACAGTCAAACAAAGGTCAGAAAGGTCAGTGTGTTTACAGAATTATCATTAACCACATGGTTAGCTTCATTTCGGTTGCTCACGTCAAAGCAAAACATTTATCAAACATTTTACGGCTTCAAAAGGTCAGTACCAAGCGATATTTGTTTTAAAATGAGTTGTGTAACATTTAGAACACCATTAAATCATCAAATGCAACGGACAGTACATAAGCGTTTAGCTGAAAAAAGAAAGTTATCATCTAAGTATAGTAAATTCAAGTTTTACAACTTATCAGGTCCTCAGGCATCTCGATGATTCAGGTTCCGTTGAAGCGACTTTGTACCGTCAGAAAACTATTTTGAGATTGCTCGGATTGGAAAGGTGTTTTTCGCCTTGCGACATGATCACAAATTGCGTGATCAGATGGAGCTCGCGATAACGTTTTAATATTCTGTGTGAAAATTCACATCCACAGACGATAACGGGGTTAACAATTTTGCTTTCGATATTGCAAGGTTTCGCTGGAGATATAATAACCACGTGGGGAAATGGCAGGTGTGAAAAACGTAAGTTTAAAGGGCAAAGAATGAGGTCATGTGCGGAAAGACCGCGTGCACTGTGACGTCTTAACTGAACTAAACCACGCACCACTTTCACGATAGGTATTTATTTTCTATGATTTAGAGTCCATTGCTTTTCTACCAATACTATCAGTTATTTACTTAGTTATGTTTATTTGGGGTCTGGGCGATTTTGAAGTCTCCCGGTTCTTTTTGACGCGGTTTCAGTTAGCTGCACTTTCTTGAATTATTCTGCAATGACTGTCTTCCTAATGTACCTCTTGCCTGTAATGTACACTCCTGTCCAAACAAACCCTTCAGGCTAACGATAAAATCCCTCAATAAAATGAAATTAATCCGAACTAACCGAGAAGAACGTCACATGCTCGCGCAGAAACTATTTTTCAGTAGTAGGCTGAATGTGGTCGCAAACATTGCAGAAGATTAATCAAAATTCCTGTCGAGAGTAGTTCTTGATAAGTTGTGCTACAGGTATGAATCAAAGTCCAAACGTTCAGCACACG